CGATGGCGCCCATAGATCCCAATCAGTTGTTGGCGGCCTTCGCGCCCCTCCTGACCCCCTTAGGGGGCATCAAGAATGCCACAGAAGTGCCCCGACTATCCAGGTATTTATGACGGCCACGAGTCGTAAGTTTTTATTCATTCAAATGATGTGTTTTTCCTCTATTTTGTCGATTAGTCTGATGAAGAAGTTCTCCCGAAAGCTGGTCTCCCGTTGTGTTTATTGCAACGTCTTGTTGGCCACCACTCCCGATGTCCTCGAAGAGTACGTGTGCTTCAGTTTCATCTGTTTGTCAGTTATTATTAACGTATGAATTGATTTGGTTTTGTCCGCAGATTCCTGCGATCGGGCGGTTGGGAGACAATACACCTGTGGATCAAGTCGGCCAAAGACACGGGTAACCGACCCTTTCTGGACGAGTTGCTGAAGTTGCTGCTGACGCTGCCCATGAATGTGGACCGCCTTCGCGAGAACGAGTCGCCCAAAATGATCCGCAAGTTAGCCAAACAGATGGACGACCCCTTACTGGCGGCCAAAGCGCAGGAAGTGGTCGACAAGTGGACCAAAATGATTGAACTGAACGCCATATCCGGCGTTAAAGAGAAGAAGCGGAAGAGCAACGACACCAACAATGGCGGCAAAGACTCGGGTGACGCGAAGAAGTCGAAACTGAACGCCAAGTCAGCCAATCATACGGCAGAGTCGGACAGCAACGCGTCGATGGACTCATCAAATAGCGATTTAAAGGCGACATCCGAGCGGACGCCGCGTCCCTCGACCGCCAAAGTAAAGCCCGGAAAGTCACGACTCGGAGACTTAGTCAGCCAGTCGTCGGCCAAACCCGTCAAACAGCGAAAGGAGGACAAGAAGTCCATCACAAGCAATAAACCACTGAATAATGCATACAATAGTGATTCCCTGAACTCAGTCACCAGTACTTCACTCCCTAAACCTAAGATACAGCCGATCGGAGGCATCAAAGTTATAGAGCCGTTGCCGGTGACCACTGCCGCCGCACCGGCACCCACTCCAGTGCCACCACCTGTGGTCGTGCCGCCCGCTAAGCCTCATGTGCTTCACGTATGCCTTGAATTGATATAATTATATTGATTTGATT